CATCTCAATCATGCTTCCCCCTAAGTACTGGCCAAAGTTTCACCATACGATCACAGACCCGTAGTCGATGATAATGTCAACAATGGTCTCAAACTTAAAATTACTAGTTTAACATCCCAAGGGTCTGGTTGGTTGCCAATGAAATTCGGATTCCGGAACCCAATGGCCCAGCGGCCCCAGCCTAAGAACTGACAAATCTGAGCGTAGTCTGATACTTCAAAACACATTGTGCAAGGCTTTACGCTCGTGGAGGAGGCAATGTCCATCGACAGCAGATACAGATAAGTGACTCGCGTCCTTCCCTTCACCCTGTACATGGAAGTGATAAAGATCCAGGTACACACTGCGCAAGGCTTACTCTCGTGGAGGCGGCAATGTGCATCGACAGCAGATACAGATAAGCGACTTCCGTACTTCCGGTCACCTTGTACAGGGAAGTGATAAGGATCCAGGTACACACTGCGCAAGGCTTGACTCTCGTGGAGGAGGCAATGTGCATCGACAGCAGATACAGATAAGTGACTCGCGTACTTCCCGTCACCTTGTACAGGGAAGTGATAAAGATCCAGGTTTGCCTAAAGCGATCTGAAACAAACAGAAACTAAAACATGTGTCCACATAAAACAAAAATGAAAACGACGCATGCACAGGCCGTATGCGTTGGACCCTTGCAGCTGCTTAACGAAGGGCCCGGACAACAGTTACAGTTCAAGTAGCAATAATTATAATAACACGCATGCTGCGAATCATGGTAGCAGCTCATGGAGTGGCAAGAATGGTCCTGTTTACACTGCCCACGATGACAGTAACTATTGCTTAGATAATAGATCTATTTGGGCCCTAAAGGGCCTTTGTATTTGACCGGCCGCCGACCACAAAATAGTGACTATTCACTGGAGTTGCTAGCATCTTATCAGTAACTTAACACCAGTTGCTATCATGGGTTAAATTCCTGCCACGCTTATCCCTGGTCGGCGTACAATCACGTAATCCAGTTAAAGAAACGGAGCAGTAGAAAAGAAAGCCATGCGTTAATAATTGTGGCTTCGCAGCAGATACGGTAGATGGAAAGGGGGGGGGGTCCTTTGGGACACCGCCCCACTCATCCATAGTCAGAGGACAACCATCCATCCAGTTAATGAAATTGAGCAGTACAAAAGGAGACCATAATAACTGTGGCTTTGCAAAAAAATACAGCAGATGGAAAGGGGTCCTTTGGGACATCTGTTAAATTTGGAACCATACAGAGAAAATAGATTAGCATGGCACCTGCACAAGGATGACACGCATGAATCGACAAATGGTCCACACGAAAAGGAAAACGGTAAGCTAACCTTTTTCAATTATTGTCTCAAATAAATGGTTCTCGGTTTTATTTGTACAAACTTACAAAGTACTACAAAACAATTGCATGAAGGATGATGAAAGCAAGGCAAGATGAAGAAACAGAAGAATGGCAGTTACATATACAGTCAGTCAAGAGATGAACTAAGAGCAGGAGAGAAGGAGAGAAGGAGAGAAGGAGAGAAGGAGAGAAGGAGAGAAGGAGAGAAGGAGAGCAGGAGAGCAGAAGAGACTCACAAACAACTAAAGAAAGAAAGGAAGGGGGAGGGGGTCAAGGGAACAGCAAGTGTGGTTTTTCAATGATGGAACATGAATTATGCTCAAGTAGTCTGAACTGAAGTCGCAGTATGTAACATGGCAAGTGATCCAGAGCAGTAAAATCGAATCGACTGCGAGAAGGAAAAAGCACAAATGAAGTGGCCTCACTCTCTAGTCACCTCACTATCAACCAAGCACTCACTCTTAGTGAGAAGTAGAATAGAGAAGAAATGAGTAGAGAAGCACAGAGTTCCCGCGCTTCGCCTTTCTCTGTTAGTCTTTCTGTCTTTCTCTGTCTATCTGTCTGTCTCTTTTATGTCGTTTTCAGTCACCGATCAGCCTGTCCATCTGTCCGTCAATTTGCCCCTCTACACGCCATCACTGTGCCTCTCTTTCTGTTTGTGTCTATCTGCCAACCTGCATGCCTGTCTCTCTATTTGTTTGTCCGTTCGATCCTCTATTTGTCTGTCGGTCCACCTGTTAATCTGCTGGTCATTCCCTTACACATAAACGCTGGTACCTAAATCACCAGTCCTATGGAAAGCCCCTTTCCTTCTTCCCTGTAAAAAGGTAGGCTGCGTTCAGGTCCATGCACTGGCCGGCAAAGCTGCTGTTCTTCAATGGATGGGTGACAGAATTAGGATCCAATCTATCCACGAGTTCTCCAACAGGCTCCGTTCCTTGACATATGGTAAATTGCTTGCAATCAAGCAGAGATGCCTCTCCTGAACGCACTATACTACAGGTACCAGTTCTACAGCAATGCTCGCTGAAGCGGGTACTTGCAGTCACATCAACGGAGATGAGAGATGAGAACCGGAAATGTAAGCAGTCAACACCAGTTCACTCTGCCAACATCAGAGACTGTCCTGTCCTACCAACTAAACCCTCTGAAACGGCCAGTGTGTCCTTCTTGACATTTGCTATGCATCTGAATCTGAAGTTGTGCTCACACACACACACACACACACACACACACACACACACACACACACACACACACACTCACACACACACACACAGAGAGAGAGAGAGAGAGAGAGAGAGAGAGAGAGAGAGAGAGAGAGAGAGAGAGAGGGAGAGAGCTAGGAGGGTAGGACAGCAGTTTCATGATTATAGTAGATGAACGGTGCACCAGTGGGCCTCAGGGAGGGTTGGGGATGGGCTGGTAGACAAGGAGCAGGAATCTGGCTCAGCTAAAGGTGCTGAATTGTGCTCTTGACCTGAAGTCACAGAATGAGGATTACTTGATGAGGACAGATGCTCAGGAAGATAGAAGCCTGCAGTCTAGACTTATTAAGAGCCTGTATGCATTAAGAATGCGTCCCTGAGTGTTAGTTGGAGTCCAGATAATAATGATGGATCAAAGTATCTTGCTGTTTTGGGGAGGAATGGGTGTGCAGTGCATGATTGCAGCAGCACCATGCACACGTATGGTATACGCATACATGTACACTTATGGCATTCCAACGTTTCGGCACACAGAAGTCAACACAGTGGCGACCACAACATGAATCAGGTCGAGACGATAGGGAGTTGATAGTACCTTAGCAGTAGTGGAAACCCAAACACAGTCTCCCTTGGTAGTACATTAACAGTAGTAGAAACCCAAAGATAAGTGTCGAATGGAACGGCGGGCATGACAGATCTGTTGTTAACCATCCGACAGTCAAAGCAGTGATGATTCTTGTCGATGGAATTGGTTTCCATATTGGATATAATGCATAAGGATAGGGGGCTTTGTTAATGCAAAGCAACCATGTAGGGAAATCAGAGAGTTTGCAGGTAGGAAGACAAGGTATCATTCTAAGACCTAAGCTAGCCCTTAGCAGTGTACTTGCTACGGTTGCTCCCTTTCTGGGTCAGTTTACATGGAGACTGAAAGAAAGTGCTTTCTACATGGCAATCAACTCTTCAGTCAGTTCTCGACGTCACCAACAAGGGATTTATGGAGTACCAACCCTCTCCACTGGCCCTTATCTATCTCCTCCAGGGTTGGTTCGACATAAGTTTGACTTGACTTCAAGCTTTGACCAGTGAATGGGAGCGACCATGTGTTCAGCTACCCCCTGGAGACTCTGAACGAAAGGGCTCTCTTACCTGCCATTCCACTCCTCGATGAAAGGGCTTTCTACCAGCTACTCAACTCCTCAACGAAAGGGCTTTCTACCTGCCAATTCAACCCTTCAATGAGGCCTATAGACATAAGTCACATAAGAAACAGGTGCTTTACGGAGTAATCACCCCTCCCGCTTAAATTTGCCTTTGAAGTTCCATGAGGTGTGCATGCCTGGCCATACCTGTCTCCTTGTGCATCAGTTCGACGCAACTTTGACTTTGCTGCTGCGACCTTTGAGTTGAGGCTGGAACCGGAATACGTATACCTAACCCTCAATAAGTTTGACTCGAGAGCCAAAAGGGCTCTTCTTGATGGAGAGAAGTTCTATCTCGAATTGAAGAGTAGCATTGGGTGGGATTTCCTGCACCCCCTCATTGCCATACGCGAGCTGTGGCGGCACGATTAGGAGTCGCACACCGTTCTCTCGCATCCCCTGCACCCCCAGATCTAGACCCTTGAGCACCATTCCCTTGTCCGAGGACCCGACGTCGAAACCGTATGGTGTACCACCCGTCACTCCCATCCCTTGCCGGCTTGTCATGAAGGTAATGCCCTTCCACTTAGCGACGTAATGTATAGCCACCCTCGACCCCCTGACTGCAGTAGCACCACCACCTACCTTTAAATCATAGAACTTAAGCCCATTTGGCAACTCGGTATATTCTGACTCGGGGATTTTGGCCGTTCGCAGCACTCTCCTGCTGGACGAAACAGCCGTGGCTTCATCAGGATACCCCAAGGCTGCGGCGGCAACAACCGCTGCGGACGCGACCATACCTTCAAGTGTCAGTCGGCGTCCTAACAAATCTGGGCTCCCACTGGCTACGGTGAGACTCGAACGCCTATCCTCGGCCACCTCCTCTGCATCTGAGGCTCGTTCCAGAGCTCGGGGCACACCCACCCGTTGCCACTCACCTGCTGCAACTGCCCCTTCCTTGGCAGTAGAGCTGGATGACCTGCCATCTGCTCGTGGCGGGACGACTAAACCACACCTGGCTGCCGATCCCAGCGAAGATCCCACGCGGACACCGCTCGTTTGCTGGATCACAGGTCGCCCCACAGTCCACAATTTCGTCGCCGACAGGGGACACTTGCCGAGGTCCTTCCTAGACCATGGGGACTGTAAAGTTGCCGCCTTGACAAAGGGGGACGAGGTGGCCACATGCGTTGTCGCCATGGTTAGCTCTCTGCGCAGCTGGTGTTGTTGTCAATCCAGCTATGGACCCCCTGCTCGAACCCCAACAACCCAATCCCCGAAATCGATGGTTAGAAAAAGACAACTGGGCACACAAGAATGGAAAACCACAGGATTTACGACCAAACCAATCAAGAAACCAGGATAGTAGATGGCGAGCAAACCAATCAAGAAACCAGGACAGTAGATGGCGAGCCTACCGTCTTCACTCCAATAGAACGCCTGGTCATAATCGCTGCATCTGGACTGAATGTTGCCCAAAGTACAGCAATAATGCCCGGCGTTCTATTCGGGTGAAGCCGGTAGGCGGAATAGAGATGGCAGATGGGCATAGCTGGATGCCGGCCACAGAGGTTGCTTTCTTTATCAGGCTGGCCAACCAGCATCCATCCAAGCATACTACCTATATAGTGCAACAGCTAGTGACACTGTTCAGGCTTTAGAAAAGAAAAAAGAAAAAAAGAAGAAGAAGAAAAGGAAGCAGGAGGGGCAGGTGAAGAAAGAGGGAAGGAGCAGAGGGGAGCAGGGAGGGAGGAAAGAGGACAACAAACCAAGAAAAAGAAGATAAGGAGGAGGACAAGCAGAAGGAAGACCCACAACAAAATTCCTCTCTGTCAACAAGATGAGGAACAGATGCCAGTACAATCAGGGTGGACAACCTTTGGGTAGCAGTGGGTAGAGGACTGCTCCAGCGATTCAAGGGTTCAAGAAATACCCCCCTCCCTTCCCCGCCCAGTACAATCAGGGTGGACAACCTTTGGGTAGCAGTGGGTAGAGGACTGCTCCAGCGATTCAAGGGTTCAAGAAATACCCCCCTCCCTTCCCTGCCCAGTACAATCAGGGTGGACAACCTTTGGGTAGCAGTGGGCCTGTCTCTTATACACATCTAGATGTGTATAAGAGACAGGATCAAAGAAATACCCCCCTCCCTTCCCCGCCCAGTACAATCAGGGTGGACAACCTTTGGGTAGCAGTGGGTAGAGAGGACTGCTCCAGCTATTCAAGGGTTCACGAAATACCCCCCTCCCTCCCCCCCCCCTCCCCCATGCTTAAAAGGCATTGGCATGGATGAGTGTTTTTTCTTTCTTTTAAGTAAAAGGAAAAAAGAAAGGGAAAATTGCATCTGTACCCCACTTAAAGATGGGTATATACCCGCTATACCCAGTCCCAGTGCCAACTTGCACCTATACCCGGAAAACTGCCGGTGGAAATAATGCATGCCCAGGACTGAGCTGGACCCAGGTTGGTACCACAAAATTGCAGTTATAACCGACTACCGGAATGCACAAATTATGGACATACCCAGGCAAAATTACCGGCATACCCGGGACTGAGGTGGACTGGCCAAATTACCCTACTACCGGATGCCTGAAATTATGCTCATACCCAGCAGCCACTGGGCCACAAGGGTCCATGTGGTGGGCATGAGCATAATTTTGTGGTCTGCCATCCAAGCCCCCCCCCTCTGGCTGTGGGTACACCCGCAATTTTGCCAGCCCTTTTCTGGGCATGTGCATAATTTCGTTGCCTGGAACTCAGGGCCTCCGGGACTGAGTATGCCTACAATTTTGCACAGAGGAAAAGTCGGGTACTATGCAAAGTTGAACGGTCCCGGTACAGATGCAATTTTCCCACAAAGAAAACGACTCAAGCGGATTGGCTTTTTTCTTTCCTTTCTTTTTTCCATTTTTTTTTTCAAAAGGGCCACGGCCTTGATATATCATCGTCGAACTGACCGGCCCTAGGTAATTCAGGTAAAAAAATAAATAAATAAAATTGTAGTATTTCACTCATCTGCTTGCCATGGAGTTCTTTGGTCTGTGTACCAACTGAGCTAGGCCAGTTGGTATATTGTTTTTTTTAAAGAAAAAAGATATGCAAAAATTCTTTGTTAGCGCACAGGCCCCTTCGAAAGGGAGATGGTCCCCTTTTTCTTTTTTTTACCGCCCCCCAAAAAACACGTGGGTCCCTTGCAAACCAGGCACGTCCCCTCCAAAGCAAAAAGCCCGCCAAGCCTCACACCCCAGCCCGATCACATAGAGGGATACAGGGTTTTTTATCTTTCATTAGAAAGGAAAAAAAGAAAAACGATTTAAGCGCATTGCTTTTTTTTGTAAGAAAAAAAAGGATCCAAAAACCCTGGCTAAGTATTCTTTCGGGAGAAGGGAAAAAAAAACGCAGACCTTCGATTGATTGATTGAAAAAAACGACCCAACAGAAACCGTCCCTAACCTGGTCCCTACCCTTGGAAGTCAGTCACAGATGGGCCATGGAAGCTAGAGAAAGATTAGTAAGGAGCAACGAAGTCTCATCTGTATCACTGAGAAGACTGTGGAATGACCTGAGAAGGATTCCATCAGCCAAGTTTGGGAGCCTGGCTTGGCTTCAATCTCATCGCATTATTCCAACAGCCAAATGGCTAGCTAATAATAGATGCGAGTCCACACAGTGTGCTGTAGATGTAAAAAATCTGACGAGACAGCAACACACCTATGGTGGGGATGTGTTGAATCTTTTTTTTTTTTTTTTTTTTTTTTTTAAACAAATCCCTCCAGTGTTAGTGTTGCTGATAAGAGTAGACACCACTAGCACCTGGGGAAAGACTCCATCTATTGGTGGGGAGCATCACCTGCTGGAAAACGGGTCCAGCGTCCCATTATGAGCATGATACAACTGGAATACAACAAAAGGCAACAAGATGAACATCAGAAATTATAGACCAATAACGTTACTAACCGTAGTTTACAAGATGTTGGCTAAGAGTCTAGCAAACAGCCTCATTCCTGTGATGGAGGACATCATTCACCCAGACCAGACCGGCTTCATCCAGAACAGGAATATCCAAGAAAATATCCTCTTAGTCAACGAAGTCATGAGGCTAACCAAACAAAATAACCAAAATGCGGCTATAATCTTCATTGACTTTGAAAAGGCATACGACCACGTGGACTGGTTCTTCTTGGATAGATGCCTCAATAAAATGAACTTTGGGCCAACCTTTAGGAAGTGGGTATCAATACTCCACTGCAATGTGACCACAAGGGTTCAAATCAACGACAGTCTTGCACCAGAGATCCGGCTAGCCCGCTCGGTGAGACAAGGAGATCCTCTAGCGCCTTTTCTTTTTCTGATAATAATAGAGGCCTTAGCCGCAAATATAAGACAACATAAGGACCTGAGAAAGATCCAAGTAACTTTCATACCTGAGGAAGCTTTCCCGATTTGCTCCCTTTTCGCGGATGACCTGACAATAATGGTAGCGGCTACATGGGAGAACATGGAGGCAACCCGCAAACTAATGGATAAATTTTGCAGAGTCTCGGACATAGCTATAAACTGGGGAAGCAAAACTCAAGGGTGGTGGATACACTCTCAGGGTGGGAGGCCACCAGAGGAACCTAAAGTAAACTGGTTAGAAAAGGGAACACCGGTCAGAGTCTTAGGGGTCCAGATGACGGAGGAGGGCCGCCCACCCTCAAATGATGAGTGGATCACAGGCCCAGCCATACAAAAAATGACGGCATGGAAAGGGAAGCACACCTCGCTATTTGAACAAGCCTTAGTAATAAATAACGTGGTGTTAGCCGCATTATGGCATAAGTCACTGAAATGGCCCCTGAGCAAAGATGCACAAAAATCATTACGAAAACAGGTGGCCGCCTTCCTCTAGAGAGGAGACCACGAATCACCAGCAGCAATCAGCAGAGTGGCGTGGGACTCAATCATTCAACCTAAAGCCCAAGGAGGATTAGGCATCATTGATCCCCCCACGCAGAGAGCAGCGCTCAGCCTAAAATGGATACAAAAACTCGTTATGGAACCATACTCCCCATGGGGCGCGCTGGCACTAGAGCAAATCAGACGATTGGCTCCACAAACACCACCTCACGTTGACCCTCTATTATGGTTAGAAGACAGATACTGGGCGCTCCCACGATCCGAAGGCAGAACAAATACAACCCGGGACAAATTCTGGCCGGAGCTCATAAGGAACTGGAAAAGACTTCCCCTGCCAGACAAACGTGCCCCGGAAAGATGGGAGGAGGTGTATAGGCAGCCCCTGTTCGGCAATAGGTGGATAACGGACACTAGGGGACAGGTCTTGCATAGCACAACAGCGCCATGGAAAAACTGGATACGAAACGGAATCACCCGAGTAGGGGACCTGTGGGATGAGCAAGAGAAGGATTGGAAAACAATGGACCAACTTAAAGACCAGCTCAGATACGCCCGTGCAAGAGAGGACCATCTGGAGGACCTGATCTTCTCAGTCCCGCTGGATTGGTACCGCATCCTCAAAAAGGGACCTAAACTGCAGGAGGGGGACTGGGTTGCATTAGCCGAGAAAAAAGGATGGGTGGGCTTGATCCACGAGCTTCGGCAAGAGGACGCACTTATTGAACTCTACGCAATAAGAGGGAGATGTCGGTTGGAGGGCAGCCGTGACCCTTTTCAGTGGATTGAGAGAAACCATATTTTTAGAATTAGGGTGATAGACGACGGACAAGATAAGCTGGTATACCGACCAGAAACCTCAGTTGCCATGTTACCCTTCGACCCGCAAAACTGGTGTTGGACCTCCCCAAATTCCCCCTCAAAGGGATAAAAAAAACCCTTGTTTTTCCACAGGCTCTCGGTCAAAACCGCCTATCGGATGCTTCGCCCAAAGAAAAAATTGATCGACAGCATCAACGACAGATGGGCTAAACATCTCAACATTCCAACAGACCTACTAAAACCAATTAAGTGGTTCCAGGAAACAAAGAGGAAACCGGCGAAGATCACATCCCTGCAGTGGCAGATTGCCCACCGGTGCCTTCCCACCCAAAACTGGCTGATTGACCATACCCGCTTAGAACAAAAGGGTATCGCGTCCCTGTGGTGTCCCAACTGTCTGCAAAACTTCCCAAGCAGGAAGATACCAGAAACCATTGAACATATATTCATGCAGTGCCCAGGAGTGGTCCTCACGTGGAGATGGTGGGACCGGATTTGGAGGAAAATAGTAGGCGATGAGGACTGGCCCGGGGAA